TCTATTTAAGAGCTGGCTACCAGGGGGGGAAGGATCTTGTCTGGAGATCCCCTCTTCTGGTGTTTTATAGGTGAGCCTAGCATACGGGTAAGCCTTCTATTTATTCTCTCTTATTATCTTAGTCTACTTTGCTTAACTCTCTTGTTCTTTTTGTGATTATAACATCTTAATATCCATTGATTATACAGTCCTTGAGGGTTTCTGAGCATACAAAAAAGGACATTCTGGACCTTCCTTCAATGTGTAAGTGGGATTGTTCTGATGAAACGTAGGTAAAAAGTCAGTTGCACAAGTGAAACTAGCTTTTGTGCTGAGCAACATAATACCATTTAAAATCAAACTATACATTTGTTCCAAACAGTACAAAGGTTCTTTTATCTTGTTTTCAGTAGACTGCAAACACTGTTTGAAAAAGAGAAAATATAAAGTATGACCTAAATAGAGAACTATAGTAAGATAATTTTGCTGGTGCAATTTTCTTGTTCTGTTACCACCTTTTTTCTTTCCTTTTTTTTTTTTTTTTTTTTTTCTCCCCCTTAATGGTCTATAATCTCTTATCACATCTTAAATATGAAGTAGAATTAAAAGTTTCTGTGTATTTTTTCTGTCACTATTTCTCTACTGCCTTAGAAAGCACTGTTAGAGTGCACACAGTGCCTGCAGGTACTTAGAAGTACCTTAGTATTCTGAGTATTCTGCTGCTCTGAAATAGCTATATAAAATATCTCTGAATGCAAACACTAACTGTACAAGGATAACTTAAAAAAAAAAAAAATCATTCAAAAATGATGTTTTGTATTTTGTTGGATTTTTGTTTGTTTGTTTTCGCTTGGCTGGCTTGTTTTGTTTTGCTCTGCTCACCAAAGACTGGAATGAGGAGGAGGAGCTGGTCTCAATAAAGCAGAAAGGAAAGGCAAAAGATTAAAATAATACAAGGACAAATGTTTTCATAATTTTTTCCCCGTTTTTAACATAGCCATGGATGACTATAATTGAGATTCTTTGTGAGACTTTGATTTCCTGTGACCAAATGTTACTTTGATGTCCCTGAATTAATAATAATCTTATCATATAAGGCCACTCATTTTCTTGGCTTGCTTTTTAAATATCTACACTGCAGCTTGTTGCAGCCTTGCACATTGTGTTATTAACCAGAAAGAACAGTGGCCAGAGATGAAATCCTGCCATGCAGCACCTTACCCCAACAGGCATAGGGCACAGTAACATCCCTGCCTGTGCCTGGGGAGGCTCCTGCAGCAGCTTCTGCCTCACATTCCTGCAAGCTCCTGGATTCCCCGTTGCCAATAGATCAGTGCCACACACTTCTGCAATGGAGTCTGTGCATCAGTGGCTTATATTTACAGCCATATACACCATATTTAGTGCCCTGAATCAGCTCGTTTATAGTAATGCCATAATCTGCTTGTTTTCTCAAATGCAGTATGGCAGGAAGGTAGCAACAGGCTTTGTGCTGCAATCCTCACTTGGTGGGATTCAAGGTAGGCCAGAGTCCTGCAGTGGATCTGTTCCCCTTCCCTGTTTTGCACAAATTAAATTTGACACGTACATGCAAGCACTCCAAACCTCTTAAAACTATTAGGTTTTTAATGGATAAAAAGTACCAACCTGCAACACAACTGCCAGTAAGAAGGGTGGGTAATACAGTGAAAAGAGCTTCAGAAGAAGCCTCTCCCTTTCCCTCGCTCTCTGAATGGGTAACTCTTCTAACTCTGCCATGCCTTCCAGACAGGCTTCCAGACTGTGAAGGAAAACCCCCTTTGTCTTCTCTGATTCCTGGCAAAGCCCTCTGCTCTCCATCCCCTCAAGGTTTCACTTTGGGTTGGCTCCCTGTTGTAGGCATGTCCATCATCCCCCTGTTTTTTTTCTCGCCTAGTCTTCTTCATGCTGCTGATTTAGAGTACCTGACAGAAAATAGAGAATTTTCAGCTGTTTGAACTCTTCTGAAAACAAAAAAAAAAATAACTGCATACACAGGTTTTTAAACTAACACAGCAGAGTTGAAACTGTTGCTGAGTAGAAAGAGTATTTTGCTGTGGAGAGCCATTGATAAGCCTGTGTACAGCTGTACACAAACAAACCATTTTCTTCTCTTCTGTCGAGCTGCAGGCTCTTCAGGGGGTTTCTCTGTGCCTTCAGACTGAAATTTGAAGAATCCTGATGGGAGAGGTGATCTGTCTTTTCCCTATCAGACAAGACAGGCCTGTAGTCACTAAATCCTGTAAAAGGAACTTGTCTTTTTTGCAGATCACTCTGATCTCAAATGTACCTTGCAGTTTGCATGCTTTTTTTAGGCTTAGTTATTTGCAGGCAAGCAGCCACTATTCTCATTCTGATTGAGAGAGGATTTATTTTAAAGTAAATATCTGTCTCTTTCAAATGGATTTTTAATTACTCAAATGTGTGTAAATTATTAGCTCATTTCTACTCGTTAAGGTGCAAAATAAAAATGATTATCCAGTATTTGGTGAGTTCTCAACTGTGTGCTTCAAACTTTTTTGCTTTTTTTCTTCCCCATTTGAATACGTTTCTTAACTTCCACTGAAGCATTTAAGCTAAATTGTGCAGGGAACCCATGTATGCAATGCTAGCTATGTACATCCCCTGATGAGCAATAGTAATATAAAAGGAACACTTAAAAGCCAGATGCAATGAAAATTTAAACATACTGAGTTCATAGCATGTGATAGTTTAATCATTATTTAAGCTTTAGAAATGTCATAGCATAATTACTTTAAGAATGAGTTCAAACACTTTCATGTGCAAAAATTTCTTTCTCACTTCAACTTTTTTAGCCTCCTGAGAAATTTACACTCTTATGAATTTTCTGCACTTAATCACATCATTTGATCACAGGCAAATTTTCAGTGAAAATTCAAAATCTGAAAGATTGGCATATAGTCTAAAATATGTATTTTTAAACTAAGCCTCTATTTTCTTTATGATCTTTAAATAAATCTATGAAAGTGTTTCTTTTATTAAAGAACAAGATCGGCAACAAACCCTGTTAAATGGAGAATGTCTAGAAGAACTTACTGCAGAGTCACAGAATAGAAAGCTGCAGTATATTGGATTAATAAGCACCCAGGCAGGATTAATTCAACTCTCCTAAGTATGTGATACATTTTTAATGATCTCTCAACATATACAGAGTTGTCTCCTTCTGCACTTGTAAGAAAAGGACAAGGACCAGAACTTACTTTCTCAATTTCTCCTATACCTGGAATATGATTAATCAGATCAACTTGGCAATTAATAATCTATGTTGTTATATAAAATAGTGTCTTAATCACTGTCTGCACTTCAGTGTGAACACTTCCACTACCATGCAGCATACTGCAATTTTATTTTATTTTTTAATAATATGAGCCATCCAGGTTGGATTTTGAAAAATGTCAGTTATAATGAGTCTGCCATTTCTGAGGAACAAGCTGGGGAAAAAATATTTTCCATGTAAATTTTGGAGAGGAGGAGGGTTGTTTGCACATTTTTTAAATGGAAATCTTTGTAGAGCAGCTGTACATCCTCTTAGCAAAGACTTACAGGATATAAAATTTGGCATTTGTATTAGATATGTATTGGGAATTATTTACCGTAAAATTCGCTGAAATTTGACCATTGTAATTCTCTTTAAAACTGAACTTTTCATGTGTTCCATCAGAGCTAAATCAACATTATTGTTTCCCATCCCTTAAGCTTTGTACCACCTGCTGTACTCTCAAGAGCGTGTTTGTGCTAACCAGAACCTGAACGTCTCATCCCTGTAGAGCTACTGGATACAGATTGTAGTTGTTTGGGTGAAGCCACGCTGCCTTGTAGTGTGTGCAGTGCCCAGGGCCTAACCCTCGTCATTTCTCTTCTTTCACTTCCCTTGGTGGACCCAGACACCATGGCAAGCAACTCGTTCTTGGAAAACTAGGAGACACTGATCAGAGATGGCATAAGGTGTGGGGCCAGGAGGAACTTGCCATCAGCAGTGCGAGAGCCTGTCTCAACCACGTTGACAGGGCTGGGCAACAAGCCTCTCCCTGCCCAGTATGTGCTCTCACAGCCAAAATCAGTCTGCTATGTCAGTTGATGCTATGTCAGCACTAAAAAACCTAATGAAGAGGTTGCACTGGCACAGATTGCCCAGAGATGTGTTAATATCCCATCCCTAGAGACAATCAAGGTCTCGCTGGAGGGGGCCATGAGCACCTGATCTAGCTGTAAGTGCCCCTGTTCATTGCAGAGGAGTTGGACTAGATGACTCTTAGTGGTCCCTTCCAAAAGATTCTATGATTCTACGATTCTACAAATATGGGAACATTTTTGTTTCGCAGAACAGGTAGAAGAAAGTGTCACTGTTCATTTTCCTGATACTGCAAGCACCTTTTGGTTTTGGCAGCCCTCATCTGAGATCATTACTTGTGCTCTGCTTTCCTACTGTGTGCGTCCATGAGGGGAAAGATAAGGTAGACTGACAAAATAGTCATCAAAAATTCACCAAGATCAGGGTGAGCCCGACATGATGAGAGGAGCTATTAATATTTTAACAGCTGTCATCTATCTCCACAGTCACTGAAGTATTGCATCCCTGTGTGCATGCTACAGTCAATAGATGCCATGTGCTTGGGCATGGGGAAGGACAAATTGGCATTTCTTATACTGACCAGCGGGGTGTAACTAAGTGAAATGAACATGGCTTATGCAGGGGGAAAAAAATTGTAAAGTATTCTGAGCTGAAAAACATGACTTCTCTATCAATTGGCTTAGAATTTCTTTACCAGATGGTTTGTTTTTCTTGAAGAAAACAAAGAAGAAAGAGTTGTGGTCTGTGGCTTGAACAGTGTAAGACTGATGACTGAGTGATAAAGAGACACTTCAATTTCCCTGACTTTTATTACTGAAAAGCCAAAATGTGGCATGCCACTGATAATGTCAAATGCCACCAGATGTATGCTCTTTCCCTGAGACTGACGGCTCCATCCTGTCCCTTGCAGGGCCCAGCCTCCTCTCGCAGAGTGCTCTGCAGCTCAACACCAAGCCTGAGAGCTCCTTCCAGTACTCAGCCAGCTACCACAGCAACCAGACCCTTGCCCTGGGCGAGACCGCAGCTGCCCCACTCCCAGCCCGCAGCACTCAACCCAGAGGTGCCATCCAGAGCTACAGCCAGGTAGGTGCCCTTTGCTGCCTTGCACTATCCCAAAACTACACCCAGAATCATGCAGGGGAACACTTAGGAAGGAGAACTGCCTGCCTTCCAATGCTTGCCTTTTTGTCTTGCTTTTGAGGCATCTTGCAGGGTTGAATTACTGCTGTCATTTTCACACATCTAAAGAGGCTTGACTTTCAAGATAATAGAGTAATCCTGATGAGAAAGGAGATTTACATGCTGTTTTTACTTGCTTGCTTGTATGTTTGGTGGTCTAATGTTTGGTCATTTAAGTATGAAATTCTGTGCTGCTGACCCAGATAAGGTCAGGGCCTTGCCATGTTGGTATCAGATTATTACAGAAAGCACTTTCATGCCAGAGAACAAAAACAGAGCCAGGCTTATGCTAGATGCAAAATCTATTTGGGACACTATGTAGAGCTTGGGGCTGTCATTCAATCCCATTTGTAAGAATCAGTTTTTGCTTTTCTTTCTCTGAATTTTAAGATGAACAACTTGTCAAACAGCCACATGGACATTTCAAACTTTTTAAAATTTGCTTCAGATAGTCATGAAAAGTCTAAGTGATTCCCTCAGTTTCTAGCACATAACCCTCTCTCATCTTCCCTGCTTTTCAGCATGACATTAAAGCCTCTCACTTAAACCAAAATTAAACCAAAATTTCTCAAAGTATTCATACTTCTGTACATAAACAACGTCAGACTGAATGTTGTCAAAACAGGTTATTTTCTCTTTTTAGAACTTATCTGCCATGGTACAGTAGACCATTTCAGTGTGACACTAGGACATTTTATAATTCAAGATTCAGTGGAAGTGAGCTGCATTTGAATTTCAAAGCCTTAAATTGCTAAGAGATTTCAAGCATTATATAGCCAGCACACAGCTTGTGGGATACCAAGAGACATACAATATTCCATTCACCCAATTTGCTCAGAAAAGCCCTCTTTCCTCTAAGACTGAAAAATTAAATAAAGCACAGCTAGATTTCAATTCAAACTGGGTTTGTACTTCTGTCAAGGGTTTAAAATGTGTGTAATGGCCAGGTCTCAGGATTTTTCTGTGTTTACCAGGCACCTCCTTCCCTTATGCTGTTAGGGATTGGAACCTGCAAAGGACAGCAGGACTCCAGTGGGAAGGAAGAGTGTTAGCTGTAATACTCAGTAGTAGCCTGGGCAGGTGTGGTTAGGAGTTATGCTTTGTGAAAAGCTTCACACCCGTGTCTTTCGGTGTTTCACCCCGAAAGAGTGGGATGCATTCTGCAAGGAAGCTAGAAAAAGAAGTAAGATGATACAAAAGGAATAGGTTGTAAGAATAACAGAAACAAAAAGAAGATAGAAGAGTGGAGGGAGAAAGAATCTAAAAAACAAAAATCAGAAGTAATGAAGAAGGAAGAGAAAGTACAGAAGGGAAAGAGAAAGTGTACAATTGCTCATAGTTTCAAAAAAGTGATATTCTTAATATAAATTTTGTTGTCATGAAGAGAGAAAAAATCAGCAATCGACATTTCTGTCATTTAAATTACACTGAACCGCCATTGCTTAGTTCTGAAAAATGCATTAATCATTGAATTCATATGGAACTGGTTACCTTTAGTAAGGTAACTACTAAGTTACTAAAGTAACCTTTCCTATTTTATTTTCTTTGTTTTGAGAGGGCAGAAGATAAGGTTTCTTTCTGTATTTCTCCATATTTTCTGGTAGGTGTTCCAGCAGAGAAATAACTCCTAGAAAATACTAACAATAGTGTGTGTCGATATCTTTCAAAAGATACTTGGCAGCTTCACTTAAATTAAAACATATCTTCAAAATGTTAACAACCATGTGAACTATGAATTAACATCATAGAAAAAAAAAAAAAAAGAATACAAATTATTTTTAATACAAAGTATTTAAAAAGAGCAGGAAGACAAAGATTCAGTTAAAAAACTCTAAATACGACCACTGCTGATCCCATAACTAAGGGGAAAAAAAGTCAATCCTTGGAATTGGTTTGCTGTCCCTATTATAATTAAAGTAAGTCTCAGGAGTCATAATTGTTCAGTTAATGATAATTTCCTTTGTTGTTTGCTTGCAAGGAATATAGCTATCTCTGAACATGAATGATAGACCGAATGTGTGGGAAAATATGTGCAGAGTCCCAAGGCCAGCTGTGACAGCAGGAACAATTTCTGAAAATGCAATTGTATAAAAAACAGGAACTAATTAGTCTTGGGATTTCCTGTATAGAGCTGCAAAGTACAATATAACATTTTTGTCAGTTTGGAGGAGTATGTCATAAATCATAGAGTTTTTCTACTGTTTTGACTACCATAGAACATTAAACTTCTATCTCTTAAATGCTACAAGAACAGAATTTCTTAGCAACTGCTTCTCAAACAGGAAATTATACTGTTTCTCAGCTGAAAACAGCTTCTCAAATTTGGAATCCATATCCTGATACACCCTATATTGATAAATGAATGGTATTTGCAAAGAGTCTGTAATGGGTTTTGTGACAAAAAAGATTTTGCAGATGAGTGAGTGAACACTCTTTGGACAATACATAGTTTGTGAACAAATAATTGGGTTTATTGTCATCTTGAGGATGGTTAACTTACCTTGTGGATATTACAGGAATATAAAACACATCATGGAGTGCAAATAGTGGTTTCCAGCTTGTTCTACCATGTACTTGCAAAGGGAAGGGAAAGGAAGTGGAACAAATTAGCACTTCTGGATGAAGATTTTTTTTTTTTCAGTCTGCTGATCATGTGTTCTTCTCAGAGGCCAAGGCAGCACGCAAGATTAATCAGTATTGTGCTATTATCCCATGCTCCAAAAGCATCTGGACATGCTGGCACAGAATTTGAAAACCATTTAAAAAGAAAAAATAAAAAGCCTTGAAACAGTTGATTTTTGAACTTGTCTCCATTTTCTTCCAACCAAGTCATAAGTTAGTTATTCAACAGACCACTGCCTTTCACTAGTCTTATTTAGAATGTAGGCAAAAGAGCAGCAAAATGTATTTAGTTGCCAAATAAAAACTGTATGCTGGCCCTTCTCAGTTAGAAGATATTTATTCCTGCCACAAGTCAGGTGATGAGCAACCTGAAACTCTGTCCAGACAAAATCTAAAATAAGGACTTCACTGCTGGTAGGATGTGGCAGGTGATGAGGCATTTAAAACTGGGTTCCAAACATGACCACAAGAAGTAAAGGAAGCGATGAAATCTTAGGACAGATTACTCTTACTACAAACGTTCCCAGGGAACAATTCATTAGAATAGTTTCTGTAAATGAAAAAAATGACCTGCATGATGCTGGTTCAATCCTACAATAGTTAGTGATTGCAGCCAGCAGTGCTGCTTTAAAATCAGAGCTTGGCCATCTCTGGACAGCCTAAAGGATCTCACAAATTCTGTTTCTTGATGTAAAGACTGTGATGATATTAGCCAAATTCATCTATATGAAATTTATCTGTATCTATAACCTTTGTGGTAGGACCAGGTAGGCTGACATGTTTTCCTCATAGTGTTGGAGTATGCTTTGCAAGTACAGTGTAGAGATGATCTTGTATTGTTCATGACCTCTGTGATGAAATTGGGAGAAAAATAAAATAGGTCATAGGTATAAAAGGTTCACAGGTTCAGTCAGCATCTGTTATCACAGAAGTGCATCTGAACATAGATGGTATCTTCCTGGTTAGGTCAGGAACTTACAAATGACATCATAGAAGTCCTGGAGAAGAAAGATCACCCACGGGTACTGCCCAAGGACTGAAGTCTGCATCATTAAGACTGGAGAATGTTAAGCATTTTCCAAGTCTTCTGCCCTTTGCAGAAGAGCGCTGATGGAAGTTTTGGACCAGAAGAGAGTGATACCTTGAGTTAAGCCATGTGGGGGAGTTCTTTGAGCTGACAACAAACAAACAAAAAAGGAATCTCAATAAACTGAGAAGACTTTCAGTCATTGAAAGAGCACAGAACATCACGTGGATTATAAAAGAGAGCTGGACACTTAAGAGACCACCAGCGTTTCTCAAAAATCCCGATAAGGACAATCAAGTTTACTGCCTAAAGCTGACAACAACCACTGATATTCAAGAAGCCAAAGCTGTGGTGTTTCAGCAGCCTAGAGGAATGCCTTCCACACAGTCCAGTTGGAAAGTCCTTTCTAGAATCCACAGAAAGGTCTCCTCATAGGCAACAGCGTGCTGTGACGGCGTCCATTATCACCGGATGCAGCATTTTTTTCCTGAATTTACCTACACCTCAAAGAGACGTGCTGGGGTTTGTGATTGTAAGGGCCAAGCAACCCCTGAGAGCTCCAGAGAGCAGAACAGTCTGAAAACTGGTTTATTCATCCCTAAGCCTGCCAAGTACTAAAAAGGCTTCTGGATACAAGTACATCCAAAGGCATGCAGACTTACCCAAAGGTAACAGAATGTTTCAGTTTCTTCTGCTCTCGGTCAGGGAAGTATAGAGGACATTGAGCACAAACCATAGTTCCTTAAGGACAACTGGTACCATGACACAAATCTTCCAGCGTGTTCCTGGAAATTGTATTTCTTTTCCAAGAAACGACTCTGAAGCCTTTTGAGTTATATCTGAGACTCGGCCAGCCGCATTGACAGACATTCTGTTCCTTAGCACCTATGAAGTATAGATGTATGGAATCTACCAGGTTTTGGATTTGCATTTTGGCATGCTTAAGGAAAAAATAACGGGAAGGGATTTTAGATGAAAACACATCTGCTGCATCTGCTAACATATCCATACCGGTCATTTGATTCTTTGAGACTTCGTGTTCAGTTTTTTTGCTGGTCTCACACACTTTTCTTCCCTCTGGGAGCAGCCTCCAAGAAACAACATGCTGACGTTTTAGTAATTAGCAGCTGACCCCAAAGTGTTGCTTAAGCTGTCTAACCATTGAGGAACTTGTAGCTCCTTATCCATGAATAATTTCCAGCAGAATAACTAATTCAGTTATTTGTCCCTCTCAGTTCTTCTTTATAAAACAGAAATCTTGTATAGCACTGTCTTTCACTCCATCTTTTTCAGGTAAAGATCTGATTTGTTTTATTTAAATTGAATTATTTAGTAAATAAATAAATAAATAACAAGCTGGTGTCCTGAAACTTAGAGTATTTGAAACATGAATGCTGGCAGCCCAACATCAGTGAGACCATCAGTCTACCATAACCTAACTGGAAACCCTCAGTGATTTTATGTACAGAGGCCTGCAGATCTTCTTTTGTCAGCGTCAGTAGAAAATGATCTTTCTAACAATATTAAATAAGAAAATATTTTTCATACTTATGTTCATATTCTCATGCTTTTTCACTTACTTCTGCTGTGAAAAAGGATACAGCGGAACTCATACATTGAATCCAGAGACAGAATCTTTTTTGGGGGGATATCAGAAAAATGATATCTGAGAATTAGAAGAGATATCTGCAGGGCTGTAAGAAAGAAGTCCTTGATTTTTTTTTTTTTCATGTCTATGAAATAGATTAATGCATGAGGATAGAGCTACTGGAAAGCAAATTTGCTCGCAATTTATTAGTTTAAGCACAGTTTCATTATCAGGTTGACAGCAATAACAGATAAATGGAAAAATAATGGAACAAATACCATTGTATTTCATTCTTCCAGTGTAGTGTTGGATCTCAGGAGGAACAATGACGTATCTGTGTTGTTGTCTTAAGCTACAAGCAGGGAGAAACCTGAAACTAAAGTGCATTTTGCCTCTGAAAACACAACCAGAGAATGCAAATGTATTTGATCCTTTAGAAAAAATGAGAACCTCACAATAAATGTAAGACAGGTCTGAGATTAGTCACATCTCCAAAATTACTGCATGCTAACGTTTCCTTGCAATCTGTTCATCCAAAGTTCTCTCCTTCACATGGAGCAAATGCTTGGCTTTCCACAAAGTGCTACACACTGGGTTTTTAATTAAGCATTTAATTCTTGTGTCTGCCGCTACATCTTTTTCCCTGTAACAGACAATCAGAGAGTGGGATTTCTGGTTTTTGAATTAGTGCTTACAAAATGCCTACAGCTTTATAGAGATTTATTAGGAATATGGGATAATATCGGTTTACTTGAAATTAATTACTTTAAATCCTTGACACGCCAAGCAGTGTAAAAGTAGATTAGAAAAAGAAATAATGCATACATGTTGACAAGGATTGCCTAAAATCCATAAAACCAAGTTATCAGTCTGCAGGGAACACACTGGCAACAGTCTGTATTATTGTATTTCGGAGCTATTTTGAATATTAGAAAATAAATTATAATGTTGGTCCATTTTAACCATTCAAAAAGTAAAATCTATTAGCAAGCAGCAGTGGATAACGTCGTTGGTTCAAACAGCCATTCGTCATGTGTGAGCCTTGCTTTGTACATGTTGTCTTAAATCTTGGCAGCCTGGTTTTGTTTTATAGAAGATGTTGCTGTACAGTTTAAACCTTGAAAATGAGAAATGTGTTCTTGTCAAATACGTTACTGGGAAGTCACTTTCAGGTTAGCCCTTCTTTTTTCTTTCAAGACTGTAAGTAGTTCAGAATGCAGGCAGCTCTTACAAGTTATTTGATGTTCCCAGTTGCTTGCATTCCTTGGTTTTGTCACGAGTCCCTCAAATGAGTGACTTGGAGATGTCGGCCATTTGTAACAATCACAAGACAGGTATCTGTGCTGCGCTGCTTTTACCTGCTGGCCTCAGCAATGAACAGACTGCTTCCATTGGCCATCCCCATGTCCGCTGAGGACTCATACTTTAGAACGGGTATGGTTTTTATCAGATTTATCCATAAGGATACAGAGATGTCTTGTGTGTTAGAAGCCTCCAGAAACCACGCAGTTTGGCTGCCTTGCAGTGCCTGAGTGCTTTGAGTGCTACCAACAGCCAGAGGGAGCTCCTCCGGAGCCTCTTGGCCACCCCTAAAACAATTCTGGGGATCTCAAAGGTAAAGACAGAAAAAAAAAAAAGCAAAGGATGGAATCATCTCCAGCAGGTGTACAGCATGTTTCTGGCATTTTGAGCCTTATACCTGCATTGTTCTGATTATTTTCTTTTTTGTCTCGTCCTCAGTTCCTCACCAAAATCCTCGGTTGGGTATCCAAGTTTCATTGCTGGAATGCGGTGATTTTGTTTTACTTGGTTGTTTGCTTTTGGTTGTAGTTTTGTTTTGTTTTGTTTTTTTCCCTGTAGGACGGGACTAAAAAAATCCTACGTTTCTCTTTAAATGTGAAGCAGCATTGCCGTTGGCATTCACTGCAACTCCGAGCTGAGTCACAGAATGCACTATTTGCATTTTAAAGGAAGTTCTGGCTCAAGAAGCCTCGTTGAGAGGTGCGCGTTGGGGCGATGCTCTGGCCAGTCTCGAACTGCAGCTCACGGGATTTGCAGTACTTTCTAAGGTTTCATGTAAATCCTCCGCATCATCAGGAATAAGAAAAAAAGTTAAAAAATAAATAAATAAACAAGCGAACATCTGAAACACGAGCGTGCCTGTCGGCAGAGCCGAGTTGCCTCGCTGCGGGGCGTGGAGACCGGCGGGTTTGGATGTTAGCAGGTTAAAAACCGCAGATCAGCTCCCGCTCCCGGGATGGGAGCCGGCCGCCGGCTTTGGGAGCGGGACCGCCCCTCCCTCCCCGCTGCGCTCCCGCAGGGCCGGGCGGGCCGCGAGAGGGGCCGGGGTCGCCGATGTGAGCTCCGGGCGGACGCGCTCCCGAGCCCCCCGGCACCTCCCGCCGAGCGGCTCTCGGATCGCGGCTCTCGGCCCCGGGCCGCGCGCGGTGGGGGGGGCCGGGGCGAGCCGCCGCCGCCTCTCCTCGTCCCCGCGCGGCCCCGCTGACGCCTCTGCCTTTCCTTCCCGCAGCAGGGCCCGGGGGGCCGCGGCGCCCAGCCGGGCGGCACGGAGCCGCCGCCGCCCGCCGCCCCGCAGCCGCGGGAGCCCTTCGCGCCCAGCCATGGCAGCGCCTTCCACCTGCCCGAGCCCCAGCACGCCGCCGCGCTCTACTACGCCAGCTCCACGCTGCCGGCGCAGCGGGTGAGCTCCCCGCTGCCCATGCAGCCCGGCGGCTCCCCCACCAAGCTGCCGCGGGCCGGCTCCGCCGCCGAGGGCGCCGCCTACGCCGGCGCGCAGCGCCTCTCCTCCCCGAAGCAGTCCCCCAGCCGCCTGGCCAAGTCCTACAGCACCAGCTCGCCCATCAACATCGTCGTCTCCTCGGCGGGACTGTCGCCGTCCCCCATCCGAGTGACCTCCCCGCCCACCGTCCAGTCTAACATTTCCTCCTCTCCTATTCACCAGTTAAGCTCCACCATCGGCACTTACGCCACTCTGTCGCCCACCAAGCGGCTGGTTCACGCTGCCGAGCAGTACAGCAAGCACTCCCAGGAGCTGTACGCCACCGCCACCCTGCAGAGGCCCGGCTCCCTCGCAGGTAAGCGGGGCGGGGGGACGGGGCCGGGCGGAGAGGGGCGGGGGTGGGTGAGGGCAGGATGTTTGGCTGCCCGCGGCCCCGTCCTCCGGCGCGTTGAGTCTCCCGACGCGGGGGAACGAGCGGCTCGGGGCGCTGGGTGAGCCCGGCCGCGGCTCCGGGAGGGATATGCCGCTGCCGCCGGGAGCTCCCGCAGAGCGCTGCCCCGGGTGTGGGCATCGGGAGAGTTCGGGAGCGCTCGGCGGAAACTTCTGGGTACAGAGAACTGTGTATCGGTAGCGCTCTTTGGGCTCCGCGTGCGCCTTCGGGAGCTCGACCAGATGTAATTCCGCGGTAACCACGGACTTCGCGCAGACCCCAGAAGCGAGCCGCTGGCTCCCTGAGCCATCTCTGCCACTCCGAGCATCCTTCGGTGGTGGATTTTTGTGTTCTCAAAATTTCCAGTTTCATTGCTATAGTAACAGCTGCTATGCTCATATGTTCTCCCGTGTGACATAAATAGATGTGGAGATAAATAGGATATATTAAGGAGTTGGGCTGTGTTTAGCAGGCAGGTACTTAAGTTTTGTACCAGAGTTAAAACCTCTTCCCTCTGTCAGCCATCTCCTCACCCCCCCATCCAGCGGCTGTTGGCATGGGACACAATCGCACTATAAAGTGCCAAAAAAATGCAGGTTAAAGGAGCAGATAATAAAACATAGCTTTGATTTATCTCCTTTTGTAAGAACTGTTATTGTTTTTTTTCCCTACTTAAAACTTGAAGGAGGATTGGAATTTTTTTTTTTTTTAATGTAACCCCATTTTTGAAGTTCAGAATGTATAAGAAGACAGCATCAATGAATGATGCCAAAGCAGAGATCTCAGCACAGTTTGATCACTCCTGTTGTCAAGTCTTCATTATGCCCTTTTCAAACAACTTCTCGAAGTGTTTTATACAGCTGTTACATTTGTGTGACTTCTTGCCAGGTGCTATTGACCTCAAGTATTAAATACCCCCTTTGTAGGGCAAATTGAAGATGTAGAGTTATGTCAGACTTTGTATTTTGGGGAGTTTTGCATCTTCTTGCTATACCAAGAGTTGTTTGAGTCTAAATAGGCGTGGAGGGAGCTGTCACTGTAAACAGAACAGAGAAGAATACAATATGAAATTTATACACCTGTGAGTACTCACTGCCAGTATTCCCCTGTTTTTTCTTATCTTTGTTCTTGGAGAGAAGTATTTGGTTATGGAGATTTCTAACGAGCGCAGTCCCTGTTTCCCTTCGTTTAATTTTAGCAGTGGGGTTTGTATTGTACTGGGTCTTTCTTTTTGGAATGCATCTCTTATGGCTTTGCCACATTAACCATGATACTACTTGGAATAAAACTTGCTCTACAGTGCTTTAAGGGCCACCATAATGTGTCTGAAGTGCCTCAGTGCTACAGAAGTGGTAGAAGCTGTTTATCTTACGCTAGACGTAAGCCACAACGTGGACTTGGGCTGGTTTTGGCCATTTGGCAAATCGTGGCCATACGTGTACTTATAATGGGGCTTTCTATGTAAATGTGTATAAAAGTTATGTTGCTTTTAAATGAAAGCTCTTTATAGACTTCTGCTGCATCTTGCATTGTGTAGGTACTTCCTTCCCCGCTTCTCTGCAGGACCTATTGACAGGAGTGGCATGTAACTGATGGAAGGGGTTGGGTGAAAGAAAAGCCTATGGGCAGATGATTGGGTGTGCATTTCGGATCTTAACTGGGGAAGGGAACATTGATTGATCATCTGAACTTGGCAATACATTTGCAAAACAGCACAAACTTTGCCAAATGTGGTGCCCAGTAGAACACACATCATGAGCCTGAGTTGCCCTGTATCTAGGGATTTGCATTTAACTTAGGCAGAAATCTCAGTGTCTAATTTTCTAACAAATGGAAAATCTTACAAGTAAGTGCGGAGTGATAAACATGCAGAAATAGTACTGCTGCTTTAAACAAACAAACAAACAGTGGAGGCAACAGAGTTTTAGTAAATACTGTGTTGTTTGGTTTTTGTTTTCGTTTTTTTCCCTCACGGTGATGATATGCCTCTCAAGTAATCGTTGGAAGGATCTCAGTCACACGACCCTTTCTTTTGCAAAAGATCCCTCCTGTGTACTGGCTTCCATTATTTTCCATTAACATTCTGTAGCGAGTTCGTTGTGGCCTCCCAGCCATTCAGGGAGTTGCACATCTGCTAACAGTGTTAAGTGCTTGACTAATCTTCTAGGCTTCTTCTGGATGCGCTGCGCTGAAGTCAATGGGCTACTTAGAGGCTTAAAATTAATGTATGCTTTAGCGTTAGACAGGATCAGGTGTTGGGGATACTACTGAGGCAGAATTCGTTACTGTACTGTCTCTGTGTTTCTGTAAGTGTTTTTACTCAGAGCAGGGTTTGTATTGGAACAGCAGGCTTGCTGTGTTGTTGCGGGAGTTTTCTAATCATTGCATTAGAAACCAGTGAGAGCAAACAGTCGTATGTTGAAAAGTTGGTGCCCTGTAAGTGGGATTTTTGCTGCTTGTTCGTTGCACCCAGAGATAGTTTTTCTTTCGCAGAGGAGGAGTGGGGTGTAGTTGCCACATTGCACTGATTAATGGTTTGCCTGCAGTGATTAATGCAAAGTTTCAGTGGTATGTATGTGTCATTGCAGGGGTGATGTTACTCAAACTAATCTTTTTTTTATAACCAGGGAGAAAAATATTTGTAGTAATTACTGGGAATACAAATAATGCATTTGTTTTGTTTTTTTTGCCTGATGTTAGAAATTAGTGCAGGAGCTGCCTGGTTCATGAGTAGTGCTGTGTCTCAAGGCGCCACGCAGAACAGCATTGGTACCAGCATGAGGTGATTAGCAGAGAAGACCTTCAGGTGTGATTAACATTTCTTAAAATCATAGCTGAAAATGTTCAACATAGAAACTGAAACCGTAAGACTTGATTGAAGAGATGATATCATTTATAACAATTTCCTACAAACGAGGTTATAAAAGAACTTGAGATTATGAAAAGGTAATTTTTAGACTGCATCTTGAATTTAAAATAAGATATGCAAAAGCATGCAATAACTCAGTTTTAACCAAGTTACCGTAGAAACATCCTCAGAAATGTATTTCAGTCCAGTTGCACTTGAACAATTACTGCTGCCTAGTGTACATGCATTTGTGTATACCTGGAGGTTCTTGTGACTGTACCATTGATGGGCTTATTCTTGGTCTGGCTACTTTGTTGCTAGGAACTGCAATTGCAGTTCTGGCAGTAGCTGTCTGGTCTGTGCTGCTCCTACATTTAAATCAGACAGCAGTTCAAGCAGTGCTGCGCGTTCAGGAAGCCCAGTCTGTAAATCACAGAATCACAGACACATAGGGGTTGGAAGGGACGTCTGGAGACCATTCCCTTGCTAATGCAGGTTCCCTACTGAAACCCAGAACGCCCAGGTGGGTTTTGAATATCTCCAGGGAAGGAAAATCCACAGCCTCTCTGGGCAGCCTGTTCCACTGCTCTGTCGCTCTCACAATAAAGAATTTCTTGTCATGTTTGTTTGGAACTTCCCATGTTGCAGACTCCTGCACTTTAGATATTTATGAACAGTCTTCTCCAGGCTGAACAGACCCACATCTCCCAACCTTTCCTCGTATCGGAAATGCTTCAAGCCACTAATCATATTTGTAATACCTTTCTCCTTTGCTTGTAGCACATGTGAGCTGAGATGCTGTGTGCTGCTTGGTGCCAGTTGGCCAAACTTGACTGGTATAAGGGCTGCACAGGGCAGAAGGCAACAGAAACATGGGGCTGCTTTTTCTGAGCATTGCACAGCAACCCAGTATGCACATTCCTTTGGAGCATCTCCTGCTGGCAAGAATCAGATGCACAATCCAATAGGTTTGCTTAAGTCCATGGGGAGAGGAGGCAGTGAAAGGGTGCTGCTGAGGCAGTTTGTGCCTCAGGTTAAGTGATGGGGAGCAGCCCTGGTGTAGCAGAACCTCTCTGCCTCCTCATCCCTCCTAGGGAAGACTAGGGACACCTGTGACATTGAAAGATGGTTCTAGGCATTGCTTTATTACAAACAGCTCTTGAAAGCTAGAAGGAAAACACTGAGAATTATGGAATCATAGAATGGTTTGCATTGGAAGGGACCTTTATGATCATCTATTTCCAACCCCTGTGCTCTAGGCAGGGATACCTCCCTCTAGACCAAGTTGCTCAAAGGCCCATCCAGCCTGGCCTTGAACACCTCCAGGGAGAGGGGCATCCACAACCTCACTGGACAACCTGTTCCAGTGTCTCACCACCCTCACAGTAGATAATTTATTCCAAATACCTAGTCTAAATCTGCCCTCTTCCAGTTTAAAACCATTTCCACTCATTCTATTGCTACCTGCCCTTACAAAAAGTCCCTCCCCAGCTTTTCTGTAGGCCCTTTCAGATACTGAAATGGCACTGTAAGGTCCCCCAGAGCCTTCTCTTCTCCAGGCTGAAGAGCCCCAGATCTCTCAGCCTGTTCTCATAGGAGAGGTGTTCCAGCCCTCTGGTGTGTTTTGAAGACTGTCTTCTACTCTCTCAGCCCACCGGCAGGGTTAGATTTAAGAAATGTGTGTTGATATGAATCACTTTGTGCAATATTAGGTGGTAAAACCTTATGCAGCTGTTCTTTGTGTCATTATGACATCTAGCATTGAGACAAGAGCTGGAATGTGCCATAGACACTCCTGATACCACTTATAAAAAAAAACCTTCAATGTTCCTTCTCCTGTTTGCAAGCAGAACCTTCTTTCTGGTCTCTGTAAAATAAGAAAGAGAAGTCATTTGTCCTTTCTGAGTTAGAACTCTGTGCGTAAGCAGTATTAACATTACAGTATTGTGATACTGCTGACAGAAAAATGTGGCACGAGTTAATAGAGAAATACACTTTTTAGTCTTTATAGTGCAAAGAGCTGTAAGTTTATCAGGGTCTTAACTGATTCCTTCTGCTCCTTCATCTGTCGTGTCTT